CGCTGTGCCACCGGATTGTCCTTCTCAGCATCGGCCATTATGGATCGCATCATCTCCTTCAGAATGCCGGTGTAGGCATCGGCCGGCCTCTCACTCGGAACCAGGTTGACCAATTGTGCCCCAAAAGCATCGCGACCAATGGCGGAGTAGTGTTGCAGACCGTTATAACTTCCATCCACGGCAACAGGAATACGTGAGAGGTAATTTTCTGCCCCTTGTGAGCATTTAAGAGCATCCGTCAACTCTTTACAGGCCATGAGACACTGCATCGGCTCCGCAGCCTCTTGCCACCACTTGTCGCCATGAAGCGGGGATTCCGCACTTCGAACCACATCTTCAATATGCTCATTCACGTAATGCACCCGCTCATCAAAGGAGAGTTTGCTCATTCCCATCTTGTTGGCCAAATGTACCTTCAGCCAATATAGTCCAGTCTCTCCCAATGGCTTGGGTTCCGCGTACTCTAGTAGGGCTCGAAACGGATCGGATCCGGTGTGATTTAACCGCCCTGGCAGCGGATACATACGTCCACGGAAGTCCATACTATTTGGAAAGTAAATATGCGAAAACTGTACGAGTGAGCGGGCCTGACGAAGAGCTTGCAGGTAGTGAATACGGTTGCTACGTTGTTCGGAAAGACTTTTCCAATCCTCGTCTTGTTGGGTGTCGTATTCCCGCCGTTGCTGTAGATTGTAGACTTCGCAGTCGTCGCCATCATCATAAGCATCAGCAGCAGCAGCAGCAGCAGCATCGGCGTTGTCAGCCACGTCATAAGAAATGTCCCCACGACTCTTTGCGCAGTAGTGTAAAGGGTAGAAGGCTGGCCGGATCTTCCCAAAGCCGTACCCCTCTCTCACGATGGCCTCTTGTACGTGAAGCATGTATTTACTGATACGCCACGGTACACGGGAGATCGCGTCAAGAGCCTTCATCATCGGAGCTTGTGAGATGATCATCGCCTGGTTGGTGGATCCCTTCACCGCCACGGAGGGGAGGACGTTATACACGGACTTTTCCTTCGTGTCCGACTGGTGAAGCCAGGAGTTGTAGGAGAGCTGTGGAGGAAAGGCAACCCGCAAATCACGAATTTGGGTCGCTTCCATTTCAGACATGCCAACAACGGAATATTCCTCTCGGCCAGTGACGCTCACAAAACGTTCTAGTATTGGACGACCACTACCGGCCACATTCCCGCTACTCGTCCCACGCATTGACATGTGCAGCAGTTGAATCACCAAGAAACCCACTGCCTTGGTAGAGATGGGCGTCACCCCATACTCCTGTTCAAAGTACTCACACGTCTTCACCATGTTGATGCTGTACCTGGTGCGGATTGTGGTGCGGTCCCTGCCGCTGAGTTTCTTAAATATCGTGTTAAACCGAAAGTGAAATCGAAGATCTTCTGTGATCTTTACAAGCATGTGAAAAAGGCCACACGTACGGGTGCACCGCGAGGCTGTCGCACACACTTCACGCAGGACAAGCGCAACACGGGCATTATGCAGAACACTCTGCTCTGTGTCATGGAAGGCACCCTGCATCTGGGAGAGCACGGCTGGAAAGAACTCCGCCTTCACCACACCAGAGTCCCCAGGCGATTGCACATACGCAAAGAGTTTCGCCAATGCCTGCGCCGCCTTCTCCTCATCCTTGAAGTGCGCCTCCATCGCTCTCCGCACGGCGGATCGCACGGTCAGTGGAACATCTGTGGGGATAATGATATCGCCGTATATCTTCTGCAGCAAGTAGAAACACACCACACCACTGAGAATGCAGTCAAAGATGTACCTTGGCACATCTTCAAGCATAGGAACATCGGTGCGCACAATGGCATCCCAGTTGTTGAACATGCGCACAAAGTCATGAACCCATGCCGGGGCCCTATCCCCAACCTCGCCTCGTGGCTGCTGCGCCCAGCTGTCTGCAAAAGCCTGGATTGAGCTACGCAGCACTTCGGGTGTCTCTGTACCCCATGCTGTGCGCTTGTCGCCAAAACACCCTGCTCGCCGTTCCACCTCTGCCACAACTTCGTCTAGCAAGGCCATAAGACGCTGCAGCGTGGCGTCACTACTGTCTTCCACTGCCATCTGGACTAACCCAAGCTGCTCCAGGCGCTCAATCACATTTGTACGAGTAAGCAGGTTTGCCGAGGTCGCGTAGCGCACATATGACACGAGGAAGGAGGTAAAGGGGCCCACCACCTCCACTGCGGGAAGCGACTCCACAAGTTGATCGGCTTCCGCCTTGAAATTTCGAAAGACCCCTCCCACCGCTGTCTCTGCAATACGCGGGTAGTCCTGCTGAAAGGGACGGATAAGTTTTCGCAGCACCCGTGCCGACTCGGAGGCATTACGACGCACCATAAGCGTCTTTTGGGTATAACTCATCACCTCAAACTTTAGGTGACCATCACATGCCATTTCAATGTGTGAGGCCTCAAGCGACTTGTTTGTCCACTGGGAACGTACCCCACTCACACGCACCTCCTCATTGAAGACATCACCGAGGACCCGTTTCGTGATGCTAAGGTCCTGGCTCTCGCCATGCGCCTCACGGTTGGCAAGGTCAATGAGATTCATCACAAGCTCCGACTTCGTTGCCCCACCCACTGAGCGTGTCCGCGCAAACGACTTCAATACATCCGTCTTACACGAAAAAAGATCGTCGCATATCATATCAATAGAGGAGAGGACACTTTCATTGGAAGCGCTGCTCGTTGGTGCCATGACGGGAGTCCCGTACTCCTCCTCCACGTCAAGGGTTGGTGTGAAGATGTGACTTGTTGTCGTGTCATTATTTTCCAAAGGCATCCCGGCAACACCGCCGCTAAAACCAAAATTATCATGGGTGGTGTTGTCATCACTAGGACGGCCCTCGGCTTCATTGGAGTGTGCGTGTTCTTGAGGAAGCGGGGGCGCCACCTCTTCCACGTCCGACATCTGCGACTTCCTCAACGCCCGCACGGATGAAATTTTGGTGCCTGTGGCCGCCGCCTGCATAGGCCGGGCCCAGCGACGAACCGCGCCACCGCTAAGCATAAATGCCCCCCTCAACAATCGCCGCATATCTATCTAATAAGGTTTCTGCAATATGATGCAGAATTTCCACAACACACAGAAATAAAAGGAGAAAAACATACAACAACGCTGCCAGTAGAAGCAAACAACAATAACACATTCCAACTCGAAAGTCAAGCGTTTGAATGTATTGTACCATTCTTGTATAAAAATTTATGAGGAGTGAAACAAAACCCTCACAGAAAAAATACCATTAAAACAGCACCAACAAAAGAAAAGGAAAAAAAAAAAAAAAGGTGTAAATCTGCATACAATGCAATAAAGTGAAAGGGGGAAAAAAAAAGAAAAAAAAAAAAGAAATAAATCAAAACAACGGTTGAAAAGTAATGATTTCGGGCAACAAGAAAGACCACACACACACACAATACATGCATACACACAGTCCAGGAGTGCATCTGTTATAATCACCCACCTTCTAATACGTATAGGCATGTACATCGGTAATGTATTTTCCGGTGAAAAAACCCTGTGAAGAAATATTTATCATATATCAATGGGAACGGAGATGCACCACCGGGTTCAGCCATGTGATGGAGAAGGGATCGGGTGACTTCCCACTGAACCGGTCTCCCAGCATTTCCGTAAACCCTTTTACCCACACATTGTTCGAACGATCAATCACACTTAATGAGCACACAAATTCATTTCTTTCATATGGCATATTGGGCCCCACGTCCGTATGCCACTCCACCTTCACCAAATCGGAAGACAAATCCCTGTGGGTTTGCTTCCGAGCATTTTCTTCTTCTTCCTTTTCCTCCTCGTCATGGGAACAAAGCCGAGGCCCGGTCAGAATAAACGGGACCAGTACTGTGAAAAGGGCACAGTTGGAGGCGTCCACTGCGCCCTGCACACAAAACAATACGACTGTGAATCGCAGTGAACGGATGTCAACAGTCAACTGGGGACGACGCCCTGGCTCACGCACGACCGTTTCTGTACGAATTGCACCCGTCGGAGTCACACGCCAATGAACCGTGTAAGAGGCGCAGGATCCATTCCACTCCACTGTGCAATGGTCCTTATCCATGGATTGAAGCTTTGGGCAGCCCACAACATCGACAAGTATTCTTTGTTCAGATGGCGTGTTCATAGACTTCGTGTTTATTGTCGTGGACATTATCGTATTCGTTGCGGTTTCTGCGAGGCTGCTGGAAAAATCTTCCTGACGTCGCGGCACATGTCGTACATTGGTTCTCCACTTTACGTCAAGATGTGGTAATGGCGCAGCCATTTCACCCTGCCCAATTGGAAACACGTGAGATGCGGTCTGCGCCTGCGACTCGTCTGTATGGCTCCACAAATGAAGAGATCTCCCAGACTCCGCGACTGCTGCCACTTGCATGAAAGCGCAGACACAGAAACACGGAGAGGCAGGATCGCAATCCGCCGTCTCCTCTCCAAACCACGCCAAATGAGAGAAAATTGTCCAAAAAACGCATTTTGCAGGGGGAATTGTCAAGTGAAGCGCCACAGCCTCCGTAACCGCATGACCGCTGCCCGACTCCACCGTCATCGTGCCCTCTCTGTCTCCCCATGCTAACGATGCATTCACGGAAAGCAGCATTTCACTGAGAGTATCATTTGTAAGCTCATGCGGCGTCACAAGACGGATACCTTTATCTATATCGTCCTCATATTCAGAAACCGTCACAATATATGGGGTGGCGGGGGAGAGGCCTCCAAGATTCACAGAATGGGCCGGAAGACGCAGATTTTGTCTGAATGCCCTCCCATGATGCTCCTCCGCCGCACATCGGACTGTGAAGTAGATGTCGTCGTGTTCTGCTGTGTCCAAATCCCTCCTCCCTGGGAGGGTCCAGGCGAGCGTAACGGACGTTGGTCGCAACGCTGTGACGTGAAGTCCCTGGATACACGCCGGTGGAGCTATAGAAACCGTAAACGGTTCAGAGAGAGCCTGCGGGATAAGAGATATGGGACGGGACAAAAGCGCCGCCTCCTCCGTCTTATGGCTCAACAAGAAATTATCATAATAATAATTGTCATTCTCTTGCAACTTCACGCATAATGTCATTCTTCTCTTTCTGGGACAATTGCTCACCAACACCCGTGCCATCACATCGTTCATGCCACTTTCATCCACATGCAGCTCGATCTCTTCCTCCTCCATTGTTTCACTTATGCTGACGCAAAGAAATACTCGTACCACCTCCTTTACATCCCCAAGAAGGCGAAGAAGTGATGCACAAAGCGTCCTTGAGATATGGACCCCCACTGCCCCTCCAATCACAGCATTCACACTGCAATTGGAGGGGTTTAGAGACGGAGGCCTCGGTAATAAAAAAATGGAGGAAACCTCTGGAATAATAGCAGGACCGTGAAACGAAATACGAACAGGCGTCAGTGGAAGCATGACAATACGTATTTCATTTCTTGCGCCTGGCACACATAATTCACCATTTAGTTTTATCTTGAGAGGTGAGTGATGATGCATGGCGGCGCATGTCCAGGCAAGCATCACGCTTTCGTCAGGATTTGTCGAGCAACTCACGTCTGTGACAGCAAACAGGTAGTTGGGAACGCTACGTATGGAGTCTGTCGATCCGGGTCTCCAGTTGGCCACAAGCCCCAAAACAATCGGCTGCCCAACGGGCACATTTGAATAACTCGCGACCGTGGAAGTGCTCGCTCCATCTGAGTTACTCAAAAACACTTTCAGCGGCAGTATCGTGACGGACGTAAACTTCTGATCCACGTCACTTTCTGGAATCTGCACACGAAGAAGAAGAGAGGCCATGTTAGATGTGGCTATCACCGCATCCCGCAAGGGGGGCTCTGGTGGGGTGAAGAACTCTGTGCTCACAGTTTCTGTGCCACTCGCGGTTTTCACTGTCGCCATGTACTTTGTACAGGGTTCCAGGTTATCCAGCGTAAGGCACAGCGGGCCCAATCCAGATACCACCCTCTTGAAAACGCACACATCTTTCCCAAGGCTGCTGCAAGATTTGACGTGCACATTGAAGGAAATGGAGGCACCTCGCCACTCCATTTCGGCCACTCGGGGACTTCTCGATGCACACCACAATTCGCTCACGACCTCAAAAGGACCCACTTCTTCTCTCTGCGGCGACACCGAGTACGCAGACCATCCCCTCTTCCTGTCGGCTCCTTCTTGCAGACGTATTGGACGAACCTCTACATCAAAGACAACATCCACAAAAATAGGGCCCGAGCCATGGATGGAAAACGACGCCAGAACACATTCAACTCCATCATCCTTCTTTTGAGTTCGCACCAATTGTTCTCCATAAGGGGAGGCTGTGGTCGATATGGTTGGCGTAATCCGCAGCTCCAACATTTTTGACGAGGACAGGACCGCCACCCGCGTAAAGATTGGATAGGAGAAGGCCAGTGAAAATCCTGTGGCAGATGGTGTGACAGAATCCAGTTTCAGGCTTCCCTTCGTGTGCTCTACACATGTGGCGAAGTACATTTCGACACCCTCTGACCACAAGAATCCCTTTACCATGGACCGATCATCGCCCCTCTCCACCGGTCTCACCTCCAAAACGTAAACAGTGCAAGGCCGTAGTTCTGTGATGACGCATCGTGATGAAAAGTCATGCTCCACAATGACAGATTCATGGAAGTTGGAAGATACAAGCGGCAAGGTGTTAACGTTTCGTAATCCATTCCATGGCAACGGCCAGCAGATGAGTTTCACCGCGCTGGCTGATCCACTCCACTCCACCTCGACACTGTTGTGAGTGACGGAAATGATCTTAACACTCCGTACAGTGGCGAATGGTGTGGAAAAGGCGATCCCGTCGGCCACAACCACATCATCCTGAGAGACCCAAAAAGATGGCGCGCGACGTAGGGCGAGATGGACGACACAGTATACTTCGCTAAATCCCAGATCCCCAAACTCGTGCGCTATGCTCTTCACAAGACCACCGGACAAATGAGCCGGTATAAGTTGACGCATCTTCATTCGCTCTGTAGATAGGTCCACTCTAAAGAGTACTATGTAGCGCGCCTGGACCTCCACAAGTACAGGGACATGTCTTACCGAGGCAAGACGAACAACGGCGTTGTTGCACCGGAGGGATTCAAGTGCCAATGTTGCGGATGAAGAAAGGGACGAGGCCTCCAGCTCAATGGGTTTAAATGGAAAAGTGCGGGAGAGAATGGCCGCCACACTTGATGCGTACGCCCCATGAACAGGGAAGTTTGTCCATAAGAGATTTACAAAGGGCCGGGGGATGCGATGCAAAAAAAAAGGTACCGCCGGTGGCATTGCCCACCACCCTTCATCTTCTCTCCGCAAGAGTGCATGGCTTAAATCAGGACTCGGCGAAACAATAGAAGAGGGCATCGCATGTTCAAGCCCCCCTGCAGACCTTGTCGTGCACTGTGAGAGTATCCAGCTTGCTAGGAGAAGTCCACACCGTTCACCTTTTCTTGCGAGATGTACATCGCCTATGGAATACGTCACGTACCGAGACTCTGCGTCACATTCAAACAAGTGCCTCGGCCGGATCTCAGAAGCCATCCTTCGTGCCTGCATGTCATCCAACAGAGCCATGGCAAAGCGCAGACGTGCCCACCACACACGTTCAGGTGGTGCGGTTTCCTTGAGGCTTCCCAGTGATCTGATTGGTACCACCTCGTATTCCCCCTTGTCAATGGCGTAGGCAAACACCATCATGCGCAATCCCGTGTTCGCCGTATCCAAGTCTTCATATAAATGATGGGATATGTAAACAGGGAGCTCTGTTTCCTTCTGAATTGGACCCAACAACAGATACCTGCCAGATCTTGTCCTGATTGGCGTATCGCTACGCAGGAGTGCGGTGATTGTTTCTCCAAATATCTTGGAGGTTCTTAACAACTCTGCGGGGCGTCCGCTACTGTGATTAGCCACAAGGAAAAAAGCAGAATTCATGTGGGAGATGTCACGGATGGTCTGCAGCGTCGTTCGGATCAAATTTTTACACGCCTCTTCAGTGGGCATGTTGGACTGAAAGTCCGCCACATCCCCGGCGGAGCACAGAATTCGTCCTTGTGTTAGTAAGCAGAGATCCAACAGCGCACGAGAATTTTTCACTCGCTCTGGCGTGACCACCGAAAACACGGGAACGCGGTAGAAAGCCGATCGGTGCCGAATGGATGATATGGACAGTTCGTCCACGCTGCCACAGTTGGAGGGGGCAAAAAAAAGAATGGCAATACGAATATCCACAGCAGGTCCTCCACGCACCAAACGACAGTGGCGCTCATGACGCCAGTGCCGTAGCACTGCTCTTGCCTGTGCCCACATCTCCAGCATGGCCACCCGCAGTGGAAGACGGTGCTTTTTATTATGCTCTCTTGTGGATTCTTTGTTTGCCTCCCATTGACAAATGGCCTCTTTTGCATGACTTGGCTGAACAACAACGACCCCTGCCAGGGACACAAATACAACATCGTCCAAGGTGAGTTGCTCCAGCAGCCATTGAACCTCATCCATAGAGCGACGGGTTCTACCGCTACCACATGCATGAAGAACCAACAACCAAAGCGGTGACTTTTTCTGTAGCTGCTGTTTTGGCAACAGATCCCTACGGACATCGGCGCCATAATCATCTTGGGGTAAATTCACGCCATTTACGCGAAACCCCAACTCCAGCATGCCGTACTTTGGAAAGAAATGACACACCCTTTCAAGGTGCGCTTTGCAGCGTACTTGCAGGGTGCCAGACACTGCTGAAGAAGGATCCGTGAAGGATGTTTGTGACTCCTTGTCTGTCCAGGCCGCCATACGCTGAAGCAGCAACGCAACAAGATTTTCATTTCCAATCCAGTGACATTCCGCAACAAGATGACATAAGGCCTCCAGCTTGATCCGGAACCCCGTACGAAGAAACAGATGCACCACAAGCTGCTGGGGGTTATGGAGATTGTACGACAACTCCTGCAATTCACGGATCCAGTAGTCGTTGACTTCGCACACAAGAGGCGCAAACATGACATGACGTTGAAACCGAAAGAGATTTAAACAACAAAATTGCGGGGGAAGTTGTTCCAACCATCCTTCACTTGGCGCCCCCACATAAGTTGGCCCTGAAGCCGGTGTAGCTTCATCTGTGTAGGTTACCAACATAAACTTGGAGAACGGATATGTCTTCATCAAGTCACTCACGAAGAACGCTTCATCATATGTATGCTCCAAAACAACTGCGGGTGACGCAGGTGGTTTTCCAAACGTGGCAACAACCAACGCCGGGGAATCGGACACGGTGGGGTCAATAATGATGCCACCTTCATTGGATCCCGCATAGAGAGTGTACAGGCAGTCCATGATGCCGCTGGTGGAGACGTCATCTCCCAAATCGGCCATGGTCTTCTTCGCCCTTCAAGAGGCCTGAAGACCACCACCACCTACACGGGAAGGGAGGCCGTGATGCTCTGAAGAAAAACAACAACAAAAAACAAACAAAAAAAAAAGAGCACAACGCCCACCAAAAAGGTGTGTGTGTGTGTGCACGCCCAATCTCAACCCTCCGTTATGTAGGAACTGTGTCTGCGTGGAGGGTTGGAGTGGGTGGCGGCAGTCGTATGCGCCCCTTTGTCGTCTTTTTCCTCCCTTTTCCCGCTCTTCGCAAAAGGGAAATGCAATCATTCATAGAAAGAAAAAAATGAAAATAAAGGAACAAAAGAGAGAAAGAAGGAGTGCGTAGGCGGCACACCGCAGAAGTACCAGGCGTGCAGGGAAGGAGACAACAGCAAAAACAACAACAACAAAGACCTGAAGTGGATAAATCGCCACAAAAAACCAGCATCAACAACCCCCCAGCTGAGTAGAGGCAAGAGGGATGCATGTTTAATTATTGCCGGGGCGGTGGACGCGTCAATAGTGAAGTGAGTTGCGTGTACCGTATCTTGCCGTCCTTGTCCGGCTGGGCCCCATCAAGCAACATGCGGGCTTTCTTCTCCCCCAGTACCCGAGTTGCTGTGGCCTGCAGTTCAGCCAAATCCACTTTGCCCGTTCCCGCCTTGTCAAACTCCACACACAACTGCGAGAGCAACGCAAACAGCCTTGCCTTCATCGCAATGCTGGTGGCATTCGCCTCCAATTCTAAAAAGGCAGGATTGTTTCGGAGCGACGGAAAAACGGCGCGTACATCGTCCAGGTACACAAGCACCACCTCCTCGCTCTCAACCCCGTCCGGGACTTCTGCCCGCCCGAGCAGCGCGTGCACAAAGCGAAAAAGGGCCTCGCGTCGTGAGGCGTCATCGGGGCCCACCACAATCAAATCCTCGCCCTCAAACATGCGAAAGAGAAGTTCGGGTAGAAACGCCTCAAGGATGACCATGAGGCAGCGATTTACTTGACGATTGGTCGTGGCTATCGGTAAACAGAGGGCAGAATAGACGAGATCAAACTGCTCGGATGGGGTCTGGCGAAAGTCATGTAGGGTCGACTCCACCACTGCGGCTATGACGTCAATGGCATCGGCATCGATTCTCGTGCAGCCATCACGGCTGTCCATCATCTTTGCCCCTGATGCGTCACTCCCATTCCCACACAGCGCCAAGAGGTCTAGACATGCATCCAGAAGCCGCTCATTATGTAATGACGCATCTCGGTGTGCCTTCTCCACAATGCGTTGATGCTGGACGGTGTTGTTGCTTGGCGGTTCAGCCGCCTCGTTCACTCCGCGATGAGTCGCAAATGGATTCCAAAAGTATCGTCTGCTGCAATGACAAAAGCTATAGCTGCAGTAACAAGAACAACCGCGGTTCGTGCTGTGTGGCAAAAGCCACCCCATGCGAAGTAACAACAGGTCACGCGGAGGCACGCTGGTTCCCCGCCGAGAAAAACTAAGCAGCGAAAAGGACATCTCTCACCCCTTTTTTTTTCCCCTTACTTTTTTTTTATTCTTTCCTCCACCTCTCTTATTTACTGGAAGAGTGGGTTTCCCTCCCCAGCTGTATACAAATATATCCATGGTTGCGGACGTGCATTGAGGGAGAGGGGGAAAAAAAAAGCCCCAATAAAAACACGCACACGAAAAAGAGAAGAAAAACAACACCGACGATTATTTCAACAAAAAAAAAATCGGCCCGCATGGAACCAAATGCACATGGAGCAGCGGTCATGCCAACCGTGACTCATTTCTTCCCCATCCCGCTTCCATCATCCAATTGCCATCGCTCTGACTCCAGCCTGAAAAATCTATTTCAAAAAGAGCAATGCCCACGCTACGGTAAAAGTATGTTCACGAGATGTTCGATAGCTCGCTAAGAATACTATCAATGACTCCGCGGCGGTCGTGTAGACGTCGCCTCCGCTGACGCCATGCAGCAGACGCAGCATGGGGCAACAAAGCATCAGCCTGCGTGTTTTTCATGTTCATTTTGTCTACTCTCTCTTCCTTTTTTTCTGCTTCGCATTTTTTTATGGATGACACGCGCTGCTCAATGGGATCGGACGTCATGGAACACGCAGCACTTGTTATCGCAGCCATTTCGCAGGCAACACGACCTGGTGGTGTGCCGGAAAGCACCAATGGCTCTTTGACCCAACAATATGAGGGATACTTCGCCGTTGATGTGGCAGATGTTTGCGGCATCTTATCCGACAACGTCTCCACCTCATCCATCAGTGACCACAAGTCGGCAGCGTCGTTCACACGGTTCAATATAAACTGTAGAAGTAGCTCTCCAAGCTGTTGTTTGTCTTTCTTCTCCGCCAGACGTTGTAGACGCGTCTTTAGAATGGAAGCACTCACTGTCGTGTGTTGGATCTGCTGAAGATACGCCTCAATAATCGCCTCGCGGTCCTCATTCCCAGTCGGACCATCGTTGATGACTGTTGAAGTCCTTCGTGACTGCTGTTCTTGGCGGGGATTCTCCTCCACGCCACGCTCCTTGCCTTCTTTCTTGGCTTTGCTTTCAATGCTGGTGACACCAGCCAAAGCAGAATCAGGAAAAAGAGAAGGGGGAGAAAGCACGGCGTCCTCCGCACGCGACACCACATCTGGCATTGACGCTGCACTCCCCACCTGCTGCTGCTGCTCCGTCTGTGTGCATTTTATGGCGTTCAAGTAGCCGCAAGAGGCTTTTGCCCGTTGCGGCGTTGCAGAGCCGGGAAAAGGAGGCGCGGCGCTCGTCCTCTGCAGGGCGACAAACCAGACATCCAGCATTTGCTTGGCATCCAAAAACATGGTGAGGCTCGGAAACTCCACCACGCCGAGCTCCGACGACGTCTGCGACGTCACTGGTGTTATCACGATGGAGTTATGGCCACTCACAAATTTCTTTTGCACATCCGCGCGGTGCAGAAAAATCGCCCCATGACACTTTTCCGTAGAGCCATCACCATCGAAGATGTACAACAGGGCCCCCGCCATCACAAAGTGCCGCCGTACCCATCGCCGCAACACACTACCACAGTTTGACAGTTGGTAACCCGCACCCTCATGCACCACGGCGTTTCCCCAGCGTCGTAAGAAACTGGAGAGAGATAAATTGCCCAGCCACGCCTCTTCCCATCGCTGATTTTGCGAAGAAGAGGAAAACTCAACGCTGCTCTCCACTTCCCGCTTGATAGAGTCTAGTGCCAGGGCCGTGTCGGCGATTGGCATCTTCCCTTCCATAGTTGACTGTCTGCGCATGAAATCTGAATCCGACGATAATTCTTCTGGCGGTCTGCGACGCAGACTTCCTGTTTCATCCTTTTTACGACCGGCGAGTGTCCCAAATGGCGTAAAAACACGTTCCGCGTCACCCGACTGTTGCACCGGATCCGGGTGCATCACAGCGGTGGGAGAACACCCCTCTGGTGCTGGTAAATAATAATGAAACCCATTGACGCAGAAGAGAGAGAAAGAGAGAAAGGAGAGAAAAGACGTGGGAAGCAGCTGCCACAAATTCGTCCGTTACAAAAATACGACAAAAACATAAAATCATGGCACAATGATATCACGCCCTAACATTATATATGTATATAGCTGGGAGACCAGAGGAAGCATATAAGTACATGACACACTGGGCCTAGTTGAAGCCATCTGCTTTCACTAGGCTGGCTTTGATAGACCCGTTGCCACTGCCATCCAATGGTCCCGATCCTTTCTCATTGTGTGCAGTTCACGACGCAGTTTGTTCATGTCCTCATCTATACGCGCCGTTTCATCGCGTAGCGCTTCCTCTATGATGTGTTCATCGTTGCAGGCCACCCAGTCAGGGAGCACGAATGCCGATACAGGAGCAGATGTGTTAGGGGACACTTGTGTTGATTCCTGCAAGGATGCGATGGCAATCTTCAGTCCCTCATATCTTTTCTTCAGCTCCACCAAGGCCGACTCATGCTCGACCGCCAGCTGCCGCCAATGTTCCAGCTCCATGCGAGCCGCACGCAACGAAGAGACTTTGCGCTCACCAACACCCTGTGTAGGTCCATTGTATGCCACCTGCTGCCGCCGCGCGTTGTCAAGCTCCAACTTTGTAGCCTCAAGCTCCATCCGCGTTTGCTCCAACTCTTCTTCGCACGTTTTAAGACACTTACGCAGGCGAGAGACTTCTGCCCGCAGCTTATCAGTGGCATCTGAACCATCCGCTGTCATTATGGCATGCCATTGTACATCCTGCAAACGGCTGCGAATGGCAGACTTACAGTGGGCTTTCCCTGCTTCCTTGTTGACCCTCTTCGTGCTCTCTGCACTGACGGCCCCGCATTGCTCGGGGCTCACCAGTTCTAGGGAGACTTCATCCAAGCGGTGTGAAGGCGTCCTGTAGGCGTCGTGAACATCTTTAAGCTTCACCTGCAACGGCTCACTCGGTGCAATTGATGTGGCAGACTGTGCTGGCACACCGTGGAGACATGCTCCACCTTGTTCCATCCGTGCATTCGGTCCCTCCTCCTCCACGGTGGCTCGTGCGACAGGCTCCATCGCAATGTCACCGCCTGCTTCCAACAAAGTCACATCATCGGTTGCGTTGACTAATGGCGGTGTCTTCTTCGCCTTTTGCGGTTCCGTTTCCAACGTCTTCAGCCGTTCCTGAAGATCCGCGTTCAGTTTCATGAGCGCCGCATAACTGATAAGTTCATACGGCGGAGGCGCATCGGAGAGCCCACGCTCCACCGCACGTAGTCTCCCTTCCAACATTTCAACGTCCTCTCGCAGCCTATCTTCGTTTTCCTTTGAATTCCTCAGTCGACGCTGAAGCGATGACACCTCCTCCTCACGGCGGTCGTGCGCTTCCTTCGTGGAGCGCAGCTCATGCAAAAGCTCCTTTTCACGTGAGGACTGGGCAATATTCTCCTCTCGCAGCTCACACACACGTTGCTGCAGGGCGTCATTCTCGTTGCGAGCAGCCTGCAGTTGCGCCTCCATAAATCCCGCAGTCGCGATTTGCTTCTGCATCCGTGCCACCTCCCGCTTGTATGCCTCTGCTTCTGCCTTTGTGCTGCACAACTCGGTCTCCAGCATGCGAAGATCGGCCTCATGACTTCGGCGCCACAAACGCTCCGACTCAGCTCGGGTCTCCTCTTCTCTATCCAGACACTGTCGGAGGTGCATCAGCTCGCCGCGTAAGCCTTCCTCCTGCTGCGACGGACGTTTCCCTGTGCTGTTACAATGTGGCACACACAAACCCATCGCCTCTATTCGTTGAAGCTGCTGCTGAATTCCTTCAATCACATCATCTGCCGCTCGGTGATGTAGGCGGTACTCTTCAAGCTTCTGCCGGAGCGCTAGAACGTCGGAACTGCTCGTGACATCGCTATTATCATTACCACTTTTTCCAATACCGCCGTTCACCTCTGACATTTGGGCGCCAGCACAGCGCTTCTCAAGTTCCTCAATAGTTTTGTCCTTAACACCCAATTCGGCAGATAACTTCTCACAGCGCGCATGCATCTCAGCCACTTCTGCCGTTAGTTTATTTACTTTCTCATCAGCCTCCTTCTTCGCTTGACGGAGTGCACTCAGCTCCATGCGAAGATCGCTGATAATCGTGTCACGGGACGCGATGTTCTGACGAAGCTGTAGCAACAGCCTTGCTTCCGCTCCGCGTCCACCACCAACACCATCCGCGGCTGTGGCCGCAAAAAGCGCCAACGAGGGTGACACCGTTGCGGGGCCGGCACTCTCAACGGCGTCCGTCTCGGCAACCGATCCATTTGCCTGATGGTGCGCCTTCCGAAGCACAGCAATGAGTGACTTCAGCCGCTCAATCTCCCTCGTTTTTTCCTCCAATTCTCTACGCAAACGTTTGACTTCCTCACCTCGGAGTCGAAGGGTTTTTTGTGCGTGGACGTGGCTCATGCGGAGGTGATGCAGTTCCTCATGCAGCGTCACAAACTTGCGCTTCTGCAACGAATGGTAAAGTTCAAGCTGCTGCTCGGGCCTTTCCAAGTAAGGCCTAGGGGGCGACAACAGTAGCTCATTCTGTCGCGCGTTGTGGGCCACTCCCACTGGACTTCGGCTGTTACCGCCAGAAATTCTTCTTTCATGCTTACTTCTCCTTGTCGGCGAGGGAACCAACGCGGGCAGTTCCCATCGTTGTAACGTCAGCATCCGTTTCGCCAACCTCTCCCCGCGTGGAAGAGGTTCCTGCTGCTGCCCTAATGGGGGATCTATCTTGTTGGGGTCGCGCCGACGCACCGTCTCAGCGGCTTTGTTTGGACCCTCCTCCCCTCTCGCCGTCTGCGCCTCCTCTTCCTTCTCCTCCTCCGCTTCTACGTCAATGACCGTCACCGCGGCCTCACTGGGGCCAGACACGGGCGCACCATCGCCGTGGGCCGGTACGACGACTGGCTTCGTCATGCTTTAATAAACCCACCCGCACCGCAGGAAGAGAGAAAAAGACTGATAGAAAACTAATCGCCTTGATGACTCTTCGTCACACGGACCATCTGTGGCAGAAAGAGAAAAATAAGGAAAGAGAGAAAAAGAGAGAGAGAGGGAGAAACCAGGTGGATAAGAAAAAAACAAAAACAAAACAAAGCAAGAAGATCAACCAAGAAGATATTGTTCTTACGTACACACATACATACACGCACAAAGAGAAGAGGAAAAAAAAAGATGGAAGCGCGGTCTTTTTATTCCTTTTTATTTTTATTTTTTTGTGTTACAAGTGCTTGTTACTGTACTGAATTTTTGCTCCTCTACGTCTCGTTCCATTGAAATCAATCATACAAAAAAAAAAAAAAAAAAAAGAACAGGTTTCCCTCCGCATAAATCGCCCTGCTTATTTTCATTTCTACCTGTAAATAGGAAGAAGAGCGAGAAAAAAAAAAAAGAGAGAGAGGGACTGGGGGGGAAACAAAAGCTGATATGAGCAGCACTCGCCAATGCAATCATACAACGGGGCGATAGTTGCGGATGCACACGCAGACTCAACCCGGAGTTGGAAGGGGATTGCGGTAACGGGCCTCAAACCACCAGCATGCAAGAAAACTACACACACACACAGAGAGAGAGAAAAAAAACAAACGGGAGCGAATAATGAAGAGCAAAAGCAAAAAAGGTGCCAACGAGCAAACACCATATCCGCCGCATCTTATTTTTAATCGCAAAAAAAACAACAACAAATAAATCATTGCTGGTCACCCATTCACTTCATTGAAGCGTGCCACTAACACTTCGACCATCATCACCTCCTCTTGCTGCACCACCCTCTTCTGCCATCCCATCATTTAACCTCGTTTCGCCAAGAGCATTGGGGTCTACTCCCACGGCCCTTAGTAAAGTTTGCTTATCTATCCCTTCCATCTCCGCGCGTTTGCAGAAGTTCTCTACGTCCATACCAAACTGCAAGATGTAATTCCAGAGCACACTCTCATCCAACATGGGATCCTCGCCATAGCCTTCTAGCATTGCGGAGACATCCTCCTTCAATCGCTGATGACGAAGGGCAAGCTCCGAGACGACAGCGAGATGCTTCTGAATATGCAGCGCCATTCGATTTGGAAAAAGGTCCACCAGACCCGCTGGAAACATCGCCGCACGGTTCTCTTTCATCTCTGGCCGCTTGGACTCCTCGACGGCGCTCCGCATCTTCTGTAGCGTGAAGCTCAGCTGTGACACACTCCGGCCCACTTCCTGAACCGTTGTGCCAGCAAGAGAATCAAGGCAATCCAACTCCTCTATAAACTGCAGGAGATCCGGTCGTCGGTCCTTTAACGACACAACAAAAACCTCCAACATGGTCGTCTTCCCATCCACGGCCTTTACAAAGTTCATTTGATTCAAGCTCTCCAGACGGAATCCGACTGCGTCTGCATGGGCGCCGCCACGATTCATAAAATTGCCGAGGGCCAAAACAGCGTGAAGCACAGCAGCAAGCTTTGAGGACTTACTCGTCAGCAAATTCACAGCCTTCTCTATCATGTCAATTCGTTTCTCTGTGAAGGAAACAAGTTCCTCCGTCTGTTCAGAAGCTAATAGAAGCGAAATACGTTCACGCGCGTCAGTCACGGTGACACACACCTTGTAAACATATTCCTCAACATCTGTCCAGGATACATTCCCTAACACCTTCTCCATCCGGAGTCTCTCCATCTCCTCCACCGTCGGAAGGACCCCCAAGAGCAACTCCAACTTTTCAAACGGAAGCGCCACCTCATCGCACTCAATAAGGGCTCTACACATCTCATCCACCGGTAATTTAAGCTGCTTGAGTGCGATGGCAATGTTCTGTTTCCTCTGAAAACTAAAAGCACTGCTTTTGCAAAGACCATTTCTCTTGGGCTCCTTTGACTCGCCGCTGGAAGTTGACAAGGGTGATGCTTTCTTACGGATCTCAAGCATCGCCAGCAAAAAGGGCTCGTCAATAATCGTCTCTGCCGAAAAGTCGTTGGAAAAACACCATATCCCAGATAACCGCGGCATTTTTTTCCAAAAAAATGTTTTTAGCTTAGGTCCAATATAGACGGGTTTAGAAGGTGCAATGTTCACTTCTCCAGGCAAGGAAACTAAGGATGCACCACTGCCAATTATCTTAGGCGGTGGCGGTGGAGGTGGAGGTGGCGCCTTCTTCCCATGTGAGGGAGGTGGAGGTGGCGTACGCGGAGGAGGCGATGACGACGGCGAAACAGGCTGGTTTGTGGGAATAGACGAGGGGTCGTAGTGATGCGCCGGCTGCGGGACGCTAAGTGAGAGCGCCAGCTCATCATCGTCTTGGCAGCAGCGCTCACCCTCCTCCAGAAGAGTGAGGGGCAACAATGCACGCAGGAATGAGCGTTCAGCGCATTCTCCGCGACCGCGGGAGCCATAACGGCTCATCCCGTCGGCACGGTAGTACACACCGCCTGCAACTTCGTTGTCCCCACGGCAACTGGAGGCGTCGTGGCGGCGGTCCGGCGGCGATACGGGCCCAGGCCGCATCAGCGTCATTTGCCGCCTAGGGGCCTGATCGATGCGCCGCGTCAGCTGTTCAACGTACGTGGTGTCCGCTGCCTCCGATTCTCCCCCAACAAAGTGCAGCCGCATGTAGGAGTCACGCGGCAATTGCCTCTGCATGGCAAAGTCCATGTCCCGTGCGCGGACGTGGTGGATCTCCTCTGAGACAAATATGGTGCTGAACGCCCACCGGGCAAGCACGCATACTTTCCACGGAGACTCCAGATGCCCCGAGGTTGTGGGCGATGGCGGCTCGTAGTGCAGCAACGATATGGCAAAGTCCCCAAACAGGCACGGCTTCGGGTTGAGGGATAGCTGCAGGGTGGCGTTGTCCCTCTCCTCTTCCCACGCGGTGGGATCACTGAAGAGAAATACATTGCCCTCATTCTCTATGCGCAGGCCAATCCTCATACCATTCAAAGGGAACATTCCCTGCAGCGACACAAATGTCAGCCGCATTCGGCGTAGGTGGGCACTGGGCAAAATAGGCACATCAAGAAGAAGCTGAAAGTAGTTCACGTAAATTTCTTGCGATGCTGCGTGGTATCTGCTGCGGCGGATGCCAAGCATTTCCTCCACGAACCCCAGAGTGTAGCTCCCGCCGTCTGATGGACAGCCAGCGAATATGTGGTAGCACGTCGCGATCATGGCGGCGTAGTTTGGGTATGTGATGCCGGAGCTTTCCTCCAGAAAGGCCAAAACCACAACGTGGTCCTGCTCAATGTTGGCCTGCGTCCACTTCTGGATGGTAAGGCAAAGCTCTATCAGAAGCCCAAAGTCCTCCACTGGCTGCTTGGAGTAATCCATCAGCTCACCGTGAGGGCAGTTGTCTTCCAGGTCCATCATTAGAGGCGAGAAGTTGAAAATGGTGTAATGGCCCTTGTAGATCTTTTCCAGCCTGTTGCAGTTGGCACGAATATTCTTCGCCGTGCTGTTACTGAGAACAAGGCACCCCTTCTTATCCATCGAGCTGCTGCCACACGGAATCTGCCAGATAAACACAGGGTAGTCAAACAGCTGCCTCAAACTGTCCCCATGCGAGAGTCTGAAAAAGCTCCCTAAAAAGTCCATATTTCCCTCGCCTTGAACACAATGATGCTGACGTGCTGTTGGAGATGGATGCGCGGTGATATAGGGGGAACAACAGCGCAATGGAGTGGCACCCACTTTCGTTGCTGCTATCGGGGCGCTGGTGACGCGTTGTCCACACCAACACTGCCTGCCTATCCTTATCTACTACTCCAACACGCACACGCTTACAGTCGCGGAAGAAAAAAAAAGAAAAAGTCAAAAGCAACAACAACAACAAAAAAAAAAAAAAGCAAGAGAGGGATGAGGCAAACGCTGCGTGGTGTTGCACGAAACAACAACAACAACAACAACAAAAAACAGTTGACTATAAAAGGCCGCGCAAAAGCCTCGCCACACGCTCAGGGAAATCAAAAGTGTGAAAAGGAATTCATTTAGATGTTATGCCGTCGTTTCGAGGGAAGCATCGTCCCCTTCGGCTGTGCAGTGACCGACGGCAACTGCCGCGGCCTTCCTAACTGCGTGGAACTGCCCACACTGGCAGTGTTTCCGACGCCTGCGGGGAGCGTTGCGTGTGGCCTGCAAGATGTGGGGGGTGCATTTGATGCTTTCTTTGTGTCTCTCGTCAGACTTTTGGTGCAAAACACCCCACGTGATGCCTCGATAAGCCAGTCACGCTCTACTGCCGTCACCACCACCAGGTACTCGCGCGTCGTGAGAAGAAGATCGTGGTAAACAACGTAAAGTGGCATCTCCGACCTTACATACACCGCCGAGGACGGATGAACGTAACATACAACACCAGAGTTAAGCAGAGGGCGGTATTCGCTCCAGTTGCTGCTGGAACGCTGCGCGGACTGCAAGCAAAATCCACTCGTTACACACTGCCGTACACGGTCCATTCCCTTGGGGCCACACGATAAGGTAGGAAGCCCCAGCATCCGCATCCGCTCTAGCAACTGTTGCTGCACCTCACAGGCACGCAGAAGGGTAGGAACGTGAAGGAAATGATCCTTCGCCCACTGTCGCGACTTACCATTCTCAAGAAAGTGCGTCATAACGTTGAGTAGCGTTAGATGATCCGATTCATTGACGTAGAAACGGCCGTGGTGCTGCCGCGCCATTTCCTCACGGTCCTTCGGTAGCTCAAAAAGTTGCTTGGGATCCGCCGAGATCATGGATACGATGCGCACCGCCTCAACGCCGCACCCTAGGCCTGCGCTCTCCACGAGTACCTTCGCAAGCGACGGTGCAAGCGGGAACTCCAAAGCCTGTCGGCCATCTGCTGTGATGGCGCCACTGTCGTCAAGAAGCCCCAGCACCCACAGCTGCCACATGCTGCGGCAGATGTTTGCTGCCGGCGGAGGGTCCATGAAGTCAAAGTCAACTAGACGCGCAACGCCAATACTCTTCAACAACAATACAACACTGTCAATGCTGCTACGCTGTATTTCCGGTACGCTGCTGGGGAGCATCTCGTCCAAAAATTGGGCTTCCGTGTATAATCGAAAACACAATCCCTCCGTTGTGCGCCCGGCCCGACCCTTGCGTTGGTTCGCCTGCGCTTGAGAGACGGGGTATCGCTGGAGGGTGTTCATGCCGAGTTTAGGCCGGAAAACATTGGTCTTCATAAAACCACAGTCAATAACGTAGCGGACACCATCTATTGTCAAGGAGGTCTCGGCAACGTTGGTGGCAACAACACATTTCCGCATGCCAGGCGGTGCGGTGTCGAGAACACCACTGGCACCCGCGCTCACCGCCTCCGAGAGGCACGGCAGCACCAAAAGCGTCTCGAGCCATTTTGGATCCATTTCTCTCAGGCGACGCCGAACTAATTCGCACGTCCCAAGCACGTCATCACGACCGGTCATAAAGACAAGAATGTCATGTTTTCCTTCCAGTGGCATCTGGATGTGAATTTGACAAATCCGGAACACAGCCTCCGCCACGTAGTCCTCTACAGGGGCCGCGGCGTATTGTACGTCAACGTCATACGTCTGCCCAGGAATTTCATAGAAGGGGGCATTTCCAAAAAACTTCGAAAATTTCAAAATGTCCATCGTGGCCGATGTCACCACAAGTTTGAGGTCCGAGCGGCGACGCACGGCGGACTGCAACACCCCGAGTAAAACGTCGTTGTTGACCGAGCGCTCATGTGCCTCATCCAGAACAATGACACTGTACTTGCTCACATCGGGATCTCGCACCACCTCGCGAAGCAGCACGCCGTCGGTCATGAACTTCACTTCTGTTTCATTTGTCGTGTTGTCGTCAAGATGAATGGCATAACCAACACGTGTGCCCAAGGCACAACCCATTTCTTCACTCACACGGCGTGCCACCCCAATGGCGGCAAGACGCCTGGGCTGTGTGCAACCAATAATACCGCCGCCTCTGGTATAGCCTCGTTGATACAAATACTGCACAAGTTGAGTCGTCTTCCCGCTACCTGTCTCACCAATGATGATCGAGACCGGGTTCTCGCCAATACAGCGCAGTAGCTCCTCCTTACAACGATAAATGGGCAATTGGCGTTGCAAAGCCATCAGCGCCAAACGCTTTGCGGCATAATCTTCCACGTGGCTGCTCTCTTTTGCCAAGCGGTCCCTGGCTTCTTGCACACGCTCCAACTTCTCTTGCCTTCTACGGAGCATTATTTCTTGCTGACGGGAGCGTTCCTCTTTTTCAACATCCTCCTTTTCTGTCGCAGCGGAGGCCACCGCATTATGGGCGGGGTTTTCCACCATACGTTCAAGCCTTGCTGTCTCCTTTCGTACTTTTTGCCGCAGCATCTCCGTTTCATCTTCTTCTAGTCCGTCCTCGTTCCCGGTTTTTTTTAGTTCCACGTTGGAGAAGTAACTGCCGGTACCCAAGTGCCCCTCGGCTGCCTGCTGCCCCGCATCGCCCTTCCGCAAAAGGCGTGCAAGATCTGATTTGCTCGTGTCCATCGCCTCCCGTGTGGCGCGCTCCACCTCCTGCTGCCGCCGCAGGAATGCCAGCGACGCGCTGCCTTTCGTGGCACTCTGCGCCAGTCGACACATGGGGCTCACGACGGGCAGGATGATGCTCGACTTGTCTTCCTGCACAGGGAGGGCAGTCAAGAGGCCGTCTGCTGCCCCTGTCTCCTCGCCATCGTCAGGCGTTGTTGAAGGCGCCATCGGCGGAAAGTCTTTTCCAAGGCGAAAAAATAGCGGCTGGTGTCTCGTGTTCACCATGAGATCTGCCTCATGTGACGGTGCCCCCTTCGTCCCTTTGGACGTCACACCTTTGCTGCCGCCGTCCTCATTGTCGCTCTCCTCCCCTGACGACTCTTGACGATGGCTACGTTGACGCAGCCGCTGCAAATATTCCTCCTGGAGATAAAAAGCACTGCCGTACGCCAACTCGACTTCATCACTCCCTGTTCCTTGCGTTTCCGTCATGTCATTGGGAGAACCCGCCGTTGCCATTGCCGTATCTATGCCCACACCATCTTCCCCCGCCGCAGCCTTACTTGCTGACGCAAGAAGTGAGGCATCACGCGGCCGCCGACGTACATCCATCGGATATTCTTTCATGCGTACATGTAGCCATCGTGTATACATAGACAAGAAGGAAACAAACACAACTGAGATAGGGAAAAATAGAGAAATAATAATAATAAGAAAATGCAAACATACGCAAACGTACTATTCGAAACCATATTCCACCAAATAAGAATACCGGAGTTGGTCTTTTTTTTTTTTTTTTTATTTGTTCTCACAGTGAAAACAATTCCCTCCCCTTCAGTGAAACAGAAGAGCAACGACATGGCGCTGGAAAAACCGATGGGAACAAGTGAATGTGTGCTATAAATGCGCCTACCTTTCCCCAACTTCATTACGCATTGGCCCAGATATGATTCGCCAAAAATATAATACCCTTTATTTGCTTCACAGGCCAACGAGGAACAAAATACACAACAACAACAACAACAATATATATATATATATATATACATAAAGACAGAATCAAATCATCGAGGCGCATTGTTCAGAAAAATATTTTCTACCACAAAAGTACAAAAACAGGGAACGCACGACGCGACGCCCTCCAGACACGCCCTAATTCCTGCTCATGCACGAAGGAAGGAAGAGGTGTTGGAAACCCCCACACCCCGTCCTCCCCGGCGGACTGGGGACGGGAGAGAGGAGAGAACAACCCACAGACAAAGAGGGGGGTTGCGCAGGATCTCACATGCACATCCTTTTCACAGGTTTGTGGTGCCAGCGCCTGACTGAGGCCCGGCTCCACCCCCCAATGACTCTTCGCCTGAGAGCGAATGTGTGTTCAACAGCCGCTGACCAACCAACCAACCAGTCAACCCATCAAGCAAACAAAAAGGGTGCATGAATGATATGCAAATTCGCCCGTGTTTCTTGTCAACGCACGGCGTGCCCCTCTCGTTTGTGCCTCCCCAACACACACACACACACACTCTCTCTTTTTCTCCGCGTGTGGGAGGAGAGCGGCATTATTCGTTGCAGGGGTTGGATGGACGGGACACGAGGGAGAAGGAAAAACAAGACAAAACAAAACAAAACCAAAAACACAATTTCTTTGTCTTCAGAAGTGATATGTTAAAGAAGGAATAATCGTCCGAGCAGCTGGCCGGATCCTGAAAACCTATGGAAACCAAACAAGTTAGGAAAAAAGGGTTCGTTATTTGATTGCTTCAATATTTTCTTTTCATTCAATATATAAATTCTGTGGACCACTAGCATGGTCCTTTGTCCTTACTTAGGATTTGAAGTATTTATTACTTACGAAGTGGCAGACTTTGGGGTCCACCAACCACAAGACCCCGCCGCGTAGTGGGGATCAACAGGGGGTGGGTGGGATGGCAAAATAAAAATAAAATATTATCTGGCCTCTATCGGCTCCCTGCCCCTACAAAGTCGCGTTCTTCCCAAAAGGTTCATACGGTAGAAAAGTATCATAAAGAATGCCTTCATTTATCAGGATATAAACATACATTCATTAATTAAGTTAGCCAGCTCTCCCGCGATCATTCTCTTCACAAGCTCCTAAAGAAAATAATAATAATAAAATAAATAAATAAATAAATCCAGTAACTAAGATAAAAAAAAAAGAAAAAATGTATCAGCAACATGCGCCATCAACATTTTCCCTTCCCTTCCCTTTCCCCCCTCCGCCCGCCCATCTCTGACCAGAGGCTTTTCCTAAGAACTCATAAAGGCAAATAAATAGTAATAATATTTTAATAATAGATAAGAGGAATAAGTAAAAAATATTAGCCACAACAGCCTCTTTTAAATTTATCCTCAAATTTTTTTTTTTTTTTTTTTTTAAAGCTCTCTTTCTTTCTCTCTCCATCTCCCTATATTGGTTTCTTTTTTCCACCCTCAATTGGACCACTTATCCTAATGAATCTCCCGCTCACTTGTAGCGTAGAGACTCTCCCCCTTCTTTTCGTTATTATTAATATTATTTCTTCTTTCCCCCTTTCTTGTCAGCAACACGGCTGCTAGGCCTGTTGCCTCTTCAGCAACTCCTTCAGAGAGGCCTGATCCCACACGTGATACATGAGCCCGGCTATCAGCAGCAGAATCACACCCCCAATTTTGTGCCCAAGAATACCGTGCGCACCATATACATCCCATTCGGGCACTATGATGAGCATAAGGCTCGTCACGGGGCCGGAGAGCTGCAGGACAACGGAGGCAAGCGTGGGGGAGCGCTCATTGAGGTACGCGCAGCCGACAAAACTCATAAAAAACCCAAGTGTGTGTAACATGCCGTACCGCACATTGTTCCAGTTCTTAAAAATATAGTCGCATGACGCGCGGAACCCCGTCCAAGCGTCGGCGGCAGTGGGAGAAACGCCAAACCATGGAATGGCGTCCATAGGTACGCATGCAAATGACACAAGAGCTTGAAAGACGATACCAACGAGAAGCAAAACCGCCTTGGCGGCAAAGTCATTTTCGTTCTGTTTCCCCCATTCGCGCTGCGCCAACAGCAGAGGTTCACTGAGCGTGTCCTCTTCTTTTTCATGAATGTCGTTTTGGTATCGCGTATGTGCCGCATTGGGTGAGGGCTGTGTATTCACCTCGCATTGACCGCCGTCTTCCACTGCCGCTTTTTCCTCCACCGGCCCAATTTGTGCCGCTGACAAATTGACGGAATCTGCGCGACACACCGGCGCTGTGCTACCCGGTGACGCCTGTGATGCATCCGCCTCGCGGACAAACATCACGGCGTCAAGGTAGAGTCGTTGCACAACACACCACATGCCAAACACAACGGCACTGGCAAGGTAGATGAGCGTCCAGTTCCACGGTGCCTTTCGCCCCGTCTCTGAGAGATCCAAAAAGGAAGACATGGACGATAACAGTACGCCTGCCACAAAGAATACAAAGGAGCCGATGAGGGTGACCGAAAGATATCGTCTTTTCCGCTCCTCCGGTATGAAAACATATGTCCACAGCTGCGCACAAAAGGGAATCACGCTAAGCAGCACCGCCTGCACAAATTCAGGGGTATATGACATGGCGTGGACTGCCAACACGCCTGTTATGGCGTTGGTGGCGCCGGAGGCAAACAACAACATAAAGCGAAACAACGGACCCCGCACGCGGTTCGTGTCAACCAACGCATGCCACAGTGGTTTCACGCCATATATAGCAATGAAGAGTGCCCCAACAATGACAAAGCAGATGACGAGGAAGCAGCAGACAATCACCTGGACAGCAATCTGGCTGGCGTTGCTGGCCGCCTCACCGACAGGAAAGATGGAAAGCCAGAAGTTCAACGCAATGAGCAGAATAACGTTCCCGATGATCACCACCAACACACAAATGATGGCAAAAAGAAAGCCGCTGGTAAACTTCGCCTCCCGCATATCCTGCAAACTGACTTGCCATTCAGAGACTGTGGCCTCCCATATATTTTCCAACTTGCGATGCCGAGCCATCGTTTCTTCACTTTCCTTCCCTTCACTTTCTTCTCGCCAAGCCGCAGTGTTAAAACAAAATTCCTTCTAATATATATATATATTAAATGGAACGCAAAAATGAAAAATGAGCTTCTCTTAAAGACAAAAATAAAATTTCCCCTTTTTATTTACCCAAGGAGAAGACAAGTAGTGCTTTGTATAACCTTTTCCCTCTCTCCCTGTAATATATATATGTGTGTATGTGTGTGAAAAATCAACAGACAGTGGTGTAGGAGAAGCAGCCCCCTGTTGTGCAGCAGCAATGCAGAAATTCCCACGTGTAAAAAAATAAAAAATAAGGGGCATGCAGGTGGATCATGTACAAATAATTATTTTCACACATATGCGGGCATGTGGTAACAAATCCTGTGACTAGAGACGTGGAATTTCATCATCAACAGAAACAAAAACATCCATCTGATGCGCTCAACACATGGAGGCATTTTGCCTTCCTTCCTTCTCTCTCTCTCTCGTAACAACCCACTGTCAGTTGCCCATGTCGTACGCTGCCCGCCGCTCCGGGTCGCGCAATACGCGGTAGGCCTCATTCAACTTTGCCATGCGCTCCGACGAGCCACCGGCATCGGGGTGCTCTGTTAGCACACGTTTGCGATAAGCCGAGCGAATCTCATTCACCGACTCTGTCCCTGTAAGACCCAGCGCCCTGTAATAGCCACGTGAATCCCTCACAGGACCAGAGGAGTGTTGCCGGTTTTGAAACGCATGCGTATCCCAGTACGATGATCGACGATATTCTTCCTCGACACGTTTCGAAGACACGTGTGGACGGAAGCCGTCACGGTCCTTTTCTTCATGCTGCATGCGTAGTTTCTTTCGTTGCCACCGGAAGTAATCACGACGACGTGATGGGAACATCTTTGCGGCGTAGAAAGCAATGTAGTACACCGGCACGGATATCAGTGAACCCAATGCCAGGCCTGTGACTTTGTTAGGCCATAATAAAATAAACATTCCTGCCACACTCAATGCGGAGAGCCGAGCGGCGTACAGCGCGTTAATCAGAAAGGGCCCACTCACCGTGCCGTTGGTGCCACTCACATACAACGTGTACTCTTGTCTATCATACTGCGCCTTCACCACGTAACATGGGACAAAGACGGGAGTGACCTCCTCTAGTCGAATATTCAACTCGAGAAACTCCACACCTATAGTCGAAGCCCCGGGATGAAAGGAACGAATGATCGCACGTGCCGTCTCTGTCGCCTGTCGCTTTACTTCTTCCTCCACGAACAGCTTTAGCGTTGCTGTGGACTGCTCAAAGAGATTAATCGTGGCCTGCGTTGCATCCACCATACTCATCTTGCGCAGGTACAATGGATTCTCCTCATTGCGCAGCGCCGTGTGTACATGGCGGATGTTATACTTGTACCCTGCGTATATCTGCGTCTGGTTTGGGCCAAAGATAGTATTCAGCGGCTGTGGCGCTGTTGTCGTGTGACGGGAGCCGCTGTGCATGTTGCCTTTCGAGTCGGCCGTACTGTCGCTATAACTCACTGTGCCACGAAAGATGCCATGAACAGTTCCTTGACAGTAGTAGAAGGGAAGAAACTCTGCTGAGGGGTTTCCAAGGTTCAAAAACTCCTGCGAGGCGCCAAGCCAACGACTGCCATACTTCCGCCTAATATGCGCAACCGCTTCATCGGCGCCAACCTGAAACTGCAACCCGCGCGGGGAGTGCACCGTCAGGCGGAGCACAAGACAGATCCGAATCATCACTGCGCTAGTACGAAGGGAGAGCAAGTAATCGCGTATCAAGCACACGCAGAAACAGACGGGCAAACAGAAGCACACAAGAACCGCCTCCGTATGTCTGTGTGTATTTGTGGTCAACAAATGCCCTTGCGGCAGTGAGACGCAAAAGAAAAGAAAGAAAAGACACAAATTGTAACGACAGTGAATCATTCGTAACATTTTATTCCACACTAATTCTCCCACTAAAACACCACCACCAGCAAAAGCAACAATGTAAACTGTCTCCGTTTGGCGTTGTCCCCCTCTCTCTCTCTCTCTTTTTTTTTTTTTTTGGCGTGCGTCCTTCCATCATTATTGCTTCTTCATGCGCTTACCTCACTGCATGCAATTTCGGCCCCACACCTCCTCATAATACTTCCCCCCAGCAACCTCCACCGTCAATGCCGAATGCGCATGGATGTACGGAACTGCACCACGTCAATGGCCACCATGTTGTTCTCCGCGTTTGTCTCCTCTCCGTTCGCATCATTGCGTGACGCCCAACGCATCTCAATGGTGGGCGTGGGAACAATCGAGAGCTTCTGCTTCCTCCGACCCAGTTGTACGGCCTTCCCATGCTGGTCGTCCTCGCGCCCATGGGGCCGACGATCCGCCTCTCGCTCGGCAAATGAGCAAAACAGCGCCGGAACTGGCACTGCCGTGAAGTACAACGTCTCCTCCTCCATCATCGAAAGCACACGACGAAGCCGTTGCTTCCCAGTAACCAGCCATGCGGAAGGATCGGCCTTGAAGGTAATAAAAAATTCCTCCTCGCCGTCACTGTTCTCTGGCCAGTTGTGTGCAAGCGGCTCCAACGCCACAGAGAAGCGAATGGGCTCACCGATAGGAAACACACAGCCGCCCGGAAGATCCACTGGCGACGCCCCAACGGGAGCTGGAGCGTCATCGAAAGAATCCTCACTAATCGTTTCAATGAGGTTCCGCACCAATGGGGTGAGTTTTCTGGTTGCGTCGTCTGCAGACCCCAGATGGCTCCAGTGGTGATCTTTAAGATGCTGCGGATCTACAAAAATGATGGCATTAAACAAGCAAGAGTGCTTCGATGTAAACGTCCCTACGGGAGCCTGGAAAGTGTTACATGTGGCCCGTAACTTCTCCAACTGCGCAGAATTGCGGTAGACTTGTGGCTGTTTGACAGTAAAAAATGGCCGCTCCGCGCCACTGCTGTTCACTGAGTTTGTCCCTGTGCGATCTTGATGGCTCTCCAACGCTCCAACGAGACTCTTTTCGGCAGTTATCCCAGCAGCAAGTGGGGCTGCGTCAGGGCTGTTGTCACCAGAGGAATGCCCCGAGTGGATGTGCATCGGGCGCAGAATGTGCGCGTCCAACGGCGTCATCTCTGACGCCATTGACCAACTCGAATATATCAACTGCAGTCGCACACGATGGCAAACCTCCTTCTCACGGATGCAGGAGTCAGAGCAGGGGGTAAGTTCAAAGAATAGATGCATCGTCTCGTGAGGCTTCCACTCACGCAACATTAGACGCTCGTGGGTGAAAGAGACCCGGGTAAGTTTATAATAGCATTCTGTGTCTAGCAACTCCAGAAACGCACCACGGAGCCAGAGAGAGGTCTTATTCAGCACATTCTCCACCTGCACAAGACAGTACACACGACTCTGAAAGCACTTAAAGGCATATTGGACCTTAAAAGCCTGAGCAAAGCCAAATGGCACGGAGACACTGGTGGTGCATGACTCCATGTCGCGCTGACAGCAAAGTGACACCTGCGCACACTCGTCTGTGCTCGACATAAAGATGGGCAGGACGGGCAATAGGCACTCAAGACGTGTTTTCCCCAACAACTTACCGAGGTTCTCCTTTTCCTCTTCTTGTTGATGCTGACGCTTGGTTTCGTTAAGGCAAATTTTAAAGCAACACTGTGGTCTCGGTACCGTTAGTAGTACGCTGCCCTCCAGATGCATGGAATTCACACAATCTCCCTTGCCATCCTCGCCACACAACTCTTTTTCTCCTCTACAACTACGGAAAATTGTTGGTAGCTGTGCCATGATACGTTGTTCATTGACCGGTACCGTGGTTAATGCACCCGTCTTTTCGTCTGAAATGGACACCATAACACCTGAGGTACTCATCTTGAGGCCACTCAAGGAGTTGTTGGCAAGATGATCGGTATCGGTACGGCGGATTGCTGCCACATCGTGCAGCAACGTGCTCTCCCTGAAAGACCTCTGCGCTGGAGTGTTGACGGAGGCTGAAGTAAGCGATGGGCGATGCATGGCGTGCCGCCTTGGAAGATGGACGTAAATAAGGGCCAATGCCCTCGGATCTTGCTCCGGCGCTGGCTCCGTCATAAAGTGGTGACGCGAATCCCACTGGCCCGGTGAACGCATTGCGGTTGTAATTGTGCTGGCAACTGAGCCTGGCGGGACAAGCGCATCAAAGGAACAACTCTTGCAGCCCACACCGTCGTGTCCCGCCGATGCTGCGGATGATAACAGTGATGCATGAGTCGTGCTGTCCTGCGGAACAATCAGTGGCCGCTCCATCTCTACACAAACTCTAAAAAAACTCGGCATGTCACCAAAACAATGGGACTCATCGGGTGGAGACACATGCAACCGGATGCCAATGTCTGGCTCAGGCAACGAGAGCAAACACCGTGGCATCGCTCTCCCACTACTGGAGACATCGTCAGCCGGCGGGGTGGCAATTCTTCCAGCAGACAAAGTTGCGGTTTGGTCATGCACGTACACAAGCGTTGTCATACCCACACGCAGCGTGATGCAGAGCAGATGATACTCGCCAGCTCGGCATGGATGAAATTCCCATACCCACTCAACTTGCTGCCTCTCCTCGTTATAGGAAGAATGCACCACTTTGGTCACATCCACGAGATGTATGGGTTCCAGGGGGTCCGTCCAATCCTTCTTTGACGCAAGCATTGCAGTGAGTGTGATACAGGAGCATTCCTCTTCCTCCTCCTTCGCGGGGCCCAAAATGTCCACAAGGCAAGTGACATGGAAGTGGAGAAGGAACGTGTCCCCAAGCTTTGCCTGCATCTCGGGAAACGCGGGCATGGCTTCCACTTCCCCCACGGTTTTCAGTTCCTTTGATGATGTCGTTTCGTCCAACTCCCGTTTTGACTTCTCCTGCAGAGAGTCCGATTGCAAACAGAACACGTGTGGATCCCGGAGTAAAAGGGAAAGACTATAACTCGGCTCCTCCCTCGCTTCATTGCGGTTCTTCCATTTGCTATCAATTTCTCTCAGACGGCGCCACCAAGTTGCCGGAGAATGCCTCCCGCAGAGAATATAAATTTCCTCCCGCAACGCGCCGCGCTCGTTGAGGGCGCCAATGATGTACAAAATCGACTCCTTCAACACCACCGTTTCTTCTTCTTTTAGCGGCGGTTGGCAGATTTCTTCGCGTTGCCGCATGACAAGATCCATCGACTCCACAAACAGGCAGTGAACAACAGCCTGAAGCTGCAGCCAGCCCTGACGCCGGCAAAAGGGAATAAGCCGCTGCAGACACAACTCGGCGGTCACGGCGGGATTCTCTACGCGGTAAGAAAGTGCACACTTATAGTACAGTTCGTGTGCAAGACGCCGGTCGCCCAGCAGGAAATACCCAATAGCAGAAGTCTCCGCGAGTGTCCGATAGAACGACGCAAAGGCAGCAGCGGAGGCAATCTCCGGCATCCCAAATTCAGAGACTTCTGGTGGTGGTAAATGCGGAGGTAATGCGGACGGAAGCGGAACGACCATCTCGCCTGTCTCACGATAGCCAATGATGGCTGCAAGATCCACAAGAAACTCCAACGCGTCTGTCGAGAGTTTAGTGAGCAGTCGACACATCCAACGCGAGTCCTTGCACCAGGAAACGTGGAGAATGCGACACAACGTCAGCAGTCGCTCTGTCATTGCCACACGATTGACCTTCATCGCATCTTTTCTGTTCCCCTTTCCTCCCTCTTGTTCTGCTCCTTCTCGTTGAGCCTCCGACCCCTCCACGAAGCTTCCGAGAGAAGACACCAAAATACTTTCCATGTTGGGTGAGGCAACGGAGTTGCCCCATTCGTTAATCACTGAGGTGGATAATGTTTCGGAGCAATCCAAACTGCCCCGATGCCGTTTTGACGATGGCTCACCATCCCCTTCTTGATGGTGCTGAACCGTATCGGCCAGCCTCGATCCAACTGATGCCGACATGTCACCTCCGCCAGTCCCCAAAACCGCAATGTTCCAGTTTAGCCGCATCGCGGAGAGTGCGCAGCGAAGCAGGAAAAAAAGCTCCCACACTTCTGTAACTTTTGATGTAGTCTCCTCCGCGAACTTCTCCCGTGCCACCTGCAAGAACTCCTTATACCGCGCAAAGGCGGCATTGCGGAGCCCAAGTTGCAGCGCACACCACATCTCGCAGGCTACGATAAAAAGAAGCCCCTCCAAAATCTCCGCCTCGTCCAGCAAAACGGACGGGGAGCCATCACTCTCGGTCAAAAAGGCCCTGGGATCAAAGACGTTGGGAAGCTTTCCCAGCCGTGCGAGTGTCGCCCTACTCTTCAGAAACCCGTAATCCTCGGAGTGGTAGTAGTACAGGCTAAACATTTTTGCAAAGACTTTCATAGCTTCACTCACAGCACCAAAATGCAAAAGGTGTATCGCCAATTCGTACCCTCTTCGCCACCACTCATGCAGGTCCCACACATCCGCCGTCCCTGTCGCAATGCCGTTGCTATAATTACTGTTGCTGCAGCTGGCGTGTGAAGAGCGTAGCTGACGCTGCTGATAACTATCAAACGCCGCAGTCAGCCGTGCGGTACGTTCAGCAAATACCGCCCGCAGCCGTTCAACAATGCGGATAGGAGCCTCATTAGGAAGGTACGCACACATCTGATGCGGCGCAAAATGGAGTGCCTTGAGTTCCTCAAAGTACGGCTCCAATGCCGCCACGGCAGCATCCGCCTTCCGTTGATCCGGTTCCTTCGCCCCATGAACGTCACCGGGCAAACCAGATGCCCGTTGTGTACTGAATCTCGCCGCGTCAACGAGGTCCTGATGGTACAACATCACGAACGCACTTCCTTCTTGACCGAGGCCCTCTAAGAGAGTGCGCCACTTCTTCACGACGTGCGATAATAGACGAGGCCGCGAGTACGGCTGATCCACGGCAAGGATGTACACATGGAGCAGCGAAGAGCTGGTGCCGGCGTTTATATCCATCGCCTTGCCGAACTGCAGCTGCAGTTTGCTACCAGGGACACAATTTTCAACCACCCTGCTGGCATCAATGTGCGGTTGGAAATAAGACTGGAGCTCCACAACGCAGCGTTCAATAATGGGCGGGGTGGTAACCTCTGCCATCGCACGATCAATGTGACGCACCAGGCAAGTCACCATCGGTGGGGCCAACGCAAAACACTCTTGCACGCTGTCACCATCACGCAGTGAAGAAGAAGATGTCTCGGGACGCTCTGCCTGCGTCATGCACACTCACTCCTATTCTTCCCGTCCCCTTCGCTCCCTCACTCCTCTTGTGGCCTCTCGTGCAAAGATTTCCCCCTTTCCTCCCCAAGCGGTCCAGTCAACCCTCGCACGCTTCAGTCGGCAACAACGATCCGCAACCACCACGCGCTCCACACTTACTGAGGCACACTAGAAAAGCAGCAACAACAACAACAAGAAAAGAAATGCAAACAAAATGGCTTCTGCACCCACCACCCAAAGAAACACAAATAAAAAATTACCGAGAAATGCCAGAAAAGGGCAAAAGGGAGAAAAAAAAAGAGAAAAAAGGCATAGAGGTAGGAAGATACGTGAAGGTTAAAACAGTCCTCACTGGGATTATTCGCACAAACTTAAATGCACAGGTATATATACGCATGCAATGTTGCATTTATCTTTTTCTTCGCCTCATGCAACCATTAAATGTAAAAAACCAGAAAGAGAAGGGAAAAAAAAATGAAAGTACAGCACTTCACCCCATTTGCTTCCATTTCCCTTTTTTCTTTTCCTTCTTCTTTTCCGTTCCTTCTTCATGTAGATGTCCTATTCCTGCAGTATCTCAAGCAATAGAGGCACTGCCGCATGTAATGTACACCCACATAAAGCTTATATGGATATATATATATATAGAGAGAGAGAGAGACAGATGTTCATTGGGTTATACTTCGTCTTCATCAATAAAGATGGCATTATAGGCGTTACGACCAGGTTTGTACGGCTCGTATATGGACGGGTCAATGACAAGACTAACATTGTTTTTCTTCTTCTCTTCGAATAGAATGGAGTCTTCATCATCATCCGATTGATTTAAAACCATGGGTCGTAAGGGATGTATTGTTTCTGTGCGCGCTACCTTTTCGCCTTGCAGACGACGAATAAGGCGGTCATCATTGGAGTTGCTGCCGTCCTCTCCATCCACGGCAATGGGCTCTCGCGTCCGTCGTTGTGTTTCCTGCATGCTCGAGACAGAGACTACCCCAGATTCATCCACCGTGATACCCATCATGCGCAGCAGGTGACGAAGCCGCGGGTCTTGCTCTGCACGGCCGCGGATGACGTCATCTACCAACGCCGTCAGAGTTTTCGTCTGCCTCCCAATGTCTTCCTGATGCTTTTCTCGCTGCCGCTTGCGTTGCTCCGTCTCGTTCCCAATGTTGACTCCATCCATGTAACTGTCAATATTGAAGACGCCCTTCTTTTGGTACTCCTCATAAAACTCTCGCTCCTCTTTGCCGTACTGCACAAGTTCATCATGCTGCAGGTAGACCTCATGCGACTCGGCGTATATGATGCTGTCGGCTAATTCGGCGAGCACAGCGTCTTCTGTGAAGAGCCGCGCGCTCGAATCCCGCTGTTCATCGGTCAGCGCCGGCACCTCGCTTGACACCTCCAGTGAACGGCCGAGGAGTTGAATCATGGACTGCAGGCGTAATCCGGTCAGTGCGTCACGTTTCAACGAGGCCTCCTCCACAATGGTGTGAAAGAGCCATTCTTTTGCCACTTTTTGTTGGAACATGCGATGCTCCAACGTCTGATAGCACACGAGACGGTACACAAAGACGGGTCGTGTCTGGCCATAGCGGTAGGCACGTCCAATTGCCTGCCTGTCATCTGCTGGGTTGAAGCCACTGTCTGCCAGAATAACACGGGTGGCGGAGGTGATGTTGATGCCAACACCCCCTGCCTTCATGCTCAGCAGCAAAACATCGGCACCACGTGAGGAGTTAAAGGATCGCAGGGTGTTCTCACGCTCAGCCCCACTGCTGTTGCCGTCCAGTCGACAAAATCGAATAGGACGTGGCAGTGAACCATCCTGCTGCCATCGACGGTTCATTTCAGCGATAATTCCCTCAAAAAGGCTTAACATTTTTGTGGACAGGCTAAAAAATAACGCCCTCTCACCTCGCAACATCGCTGCCTTAATAATCCGTATGGCAATGTACAACTTGACACCATCTTCAGGTGCGGCCGTGTAGTCCGCTGGGGGCTGAAAGAGCTCGGCATATCCTTCATTGACTGGTCCAGAGAATGACGTGCGTCGCCGATCACCATGCCCTCTATTCCCTTTCCCCATATTATCACCTGCATCCTCATTATTATTATTATTATTATTATCATCATCGGGGCTGCTCTCCACCTCACTCAGTATTTCCTTCAGTGGCGAGGCCGGATCTCTATCAAAGAGTAACTGAGGATGGGCGGAGATCTTGTTGGCGTATGTCACTGCCTGAAGAAAGTTGAACTTCGACTGCTCCAATCGCGCCAGATGGAGAAAACGATTGTACAAACGTACCTGCAATCCAGAGAGAGGAATAACAAGAACGTACTCATGCAGGGGCGGCAGCTCATCCCTTAATGGGGTGCTATCCACACGTTGAACAAAATGCCGCAACTCTCGTATCAGCGCAAATGTCTTCATACGGGCTGTGGCAACCACCCTTGAACTGGCCTCTTGAGCAACTGAGGCCTCAATGGGATTAATAAAAAACTCCTGAAATCGCCGTTTCTCAAAGTACTTGTGAACTGCAAAGTCCACCATGGCCCAATACTCCTGCAGATGATTCTGCAAAGGTGTGCCAGTCAAGAGAAGTCGACGCAACGGATGCAAACCACGAAGTGCTGCAGAAATCTGCAGACGCGTTGACTTCAATCGATGTGCCTCGTCACATATGAGTAGATCCGTAAACTCGCATCCCTTTTTATCCACTCTTGACCCCTCTTTCGAGAGTTTCGTGAGGCCAAGAAGCATCTCATACCCCACAAGCAAAACACCACCCTCGCTCCACCAACTCCTGTACAAATCTAACCGCCGCTTCATACCGTCACGTTCATCAATCATGATGGGAAGAATGCGATGCGCAAGTGGAAAGTACTGTGACCACGTGGAAAACTCCTTCTGCCATCCCGGTCGTGTGGATTTTGGAACAACAATTAACACCCGCTGCGACCGCCCAAGAAACCCGCGCTTTCCATTAAGGAAAAGATGCAAAAAGATGACCACCTGGCAGGTTTTACCAAGCCCCATGGTGTGCGCCAGGATGCAACCAACGGCAGGAACTCGCCCAACAGGCCCCTCCGCAAGAATACTCCACAAGAAGCGAATGCCGTCTATTTGATGTGGCCGCAGATGCTGCAGCTCGGGTAAAACATTCTTTGCCACGGATGGGCCGAGGACGCCAAGAAGCGTCGCTGCTGGTGGAACAAGCGCCTCTGGAAACAAGACATCGTCTCTGGACGAACTTCCATCACCCCAGTTGGATATATTGACTAGACGTCTCCAGCGCTCCAACATGCTCTTTTTCATCCTAGTCGTTTTCGCCGCCATCTCTTCTGCAAGCCACTTCTGTACAGCGTCAAAACGCGCCTTCGCTGCCTCTTTGCGCCGAAAAAAAGGCTCCAGCACGGCACGCACATCGGCGCATGTCATACCACGCAGTACCGCCGTGCTCGTGAGGGGTTCGTGCGACTCCAATGTCCCCTTTTCCTCCACAACACCAGGGCCTTGGCTCAAGCGCTTTGTTTCCTCGCCAACTAATTCCTGAGCAAACAAGCTTCTATCACTGTCACTGGAGGAGAAGGAGGAGAGGGAATCCGCATCAGTTGCCCGGGCGCCCGTATCAGGCAACAATACAGAGCGGCGGTCCCTGTCGCCGAAGAGTACCTCATCGATGAACGTATTTCCGACACCGCAGTGCCGGGAAGAAAGATTTGAAAGGGCGTCCTCCGCCAACGCCGACACGTCCGCTACGTTTTCACCGTCAGTGCCAACCCCGTCCTCGCTCTCGCTCGTGGAAATGACGAACAGCTCTGGCTCATCCATCCGTCGCAAAGTTGCCCTTCTTCTAAAACAACAACAGCAATAAAAGGCACTCGGGCCAAAACAATAAAAAAAAAAAAAAAGGAAAAGAAAAACATTTAAGGTAAATAAAACAACGGTGTATGACACCAAAAAAAGGGAATGGCAATGAGCCGCACAAAAGCTCCTCACGAGCACGGCGATATAACATGCGCTAATTTGCGTGAACTGCCGGAGCCCTCTCTTTTTTTTTCTTCTTCTTTTTTCAGCGCAATTCGTTGCATTTTTTCCTCTCCCTCTTCTCACCATGTGACTGTCAGACCGTACCTCACAACATGAGGACACCTTTTGGTGGTTCCCTCCGTCTCTCCCACTAGGGATGGTGCACCAGCGCCCGGCGTTTCCTCCGCCCCCTCGCCAGGCCAAGCCGGCAGCATCGTCTGCACCTCCACAACAAAACCAACCATGGCACTTGCTCCTGCAGTACGCTGGAGGGTGATGCAAAACGTCTCCCCTACGGAGGCGCGATTGCCGGAACGTGGAGCAAGGCTCACCCATTCACTCGCATCAGCGCCCGCCGAAATTACAAGCGAGGCGTCAAACACACCGCCTACCTGCTTCTCCATTGTGAAGCGGCGAATGCAGAGTACATCATCGCCGAAATTCCGCCACGTAAACCACCTCCGCGATTCGTCTGACGCCGGGTGGCGGCTTTGCTGCTGAAGAAGAGGAAGGCAAAAAGCAGCAGCCAGCTTTACGGTAACTAACTGACAGCGCCGACTTTCACTACTACCGCGTGCTTGAAGCACCTGCACAATCTGCTCAAATGAGGGATCCCGTCGCACGCCATTTACTACAAAGAGAAATGAGGAATCCCTCTGGTACGCTGTCGCATTCGTCTTCACGCCATCCTGGGCAGGAGGAATCACCATGGCAGTTAGGGGTAAACGAATGTTTTGCATAAGAAGAAATGGAGCTGTCGCGGCACTCTCGCTTTGCTTGCCCCAAAATGGATGGCTACTCGGAAAGAAAAATCCATGCTGCTCCATCTGCGTTGTCCGTGTCAAGGCATCGGCGTTATCCGGAAACAACACAACCCCCTTCTTGTCTCCCTCTTCAGGGGACGCTGTAGGCGTTTCACACGGCGTTGCGGCCCCCATCTCCCCCGGCGCAGAGAAGGGGATCCATTCAGGTGAATTATCCCTGTTCTTCAAAGTTCGCCCATAAATGGCACTACGAAGCTCCTCCAGCACAACCGCCGAGTGTTGCGGGGCTCCACCCCCATTCCCTATCGTTCCTTTTTTGTACTCCGCGTTGGCCACACGAGATAAACTCAACAACATCTCTTCTCTGCGTTTTAGCTTCTCATCACACGAGCGACGCCACTCACCAACTGCACGGTTGTAGGACAACATCATCTTCGATGCCGTCGCAGCCGACAGGGAGGCAAGAAGTCCATCAAAATCCTTACAAGCAACACCGTGTCGCCAGTGACAGTACGAGCAGCACGCCACATAGAGTACTTCACGCGACATGGAGATGGACAAGGCAGAAGCGTTACACCGCGGGCAGGCATAGCAGTCTGGGCACACCGCAGGCTCACTCCGACGTGAAGAAATACCTCGTGACGCACCCTTCTTACTGCTCCTCTGGGTAAACAGGGACATCGCCTCCCTTGCGACAGACTGCTCCTTTCCACATGCCCCGCAGCGCCAAAGTAATGCAAGTGGACGGGGGCTGCAATTTGATTTGTTCGGATGCAGCAAATAGGGAGACACCAGTAGTCCTTCCGGCAACGTCCCAGTATCCACATGAGTATCAACTTCACCCCCATCAACCGCAACCGCAGCTTTGTCAATCGACACCGTTTTGTGGCAGGGGGCAGGAATAACGTAGCAGTCTTGCAGTGCACAACGCGAGGAGAAATCGACGTCTGTAAGATGAATGGAAACTTCCATTCTCGCACACCATGCACAAATCAAGAACAAAGAAAAAACAAACAAACAAAGATACAACTATTTGAACCAATTACCTTTTGTTTCCCACTAGACAGCCTGCCCTAAACATGTTATTTCTTCCATATAAAAAACCTGGAGCAAAAAAGCAAAAAGGAATAACCAACCACAAGAATGAGGTCGATATATAAAGCTCAATTACATCCCGACCTCTACAATCCGACGAGATGTTGGAGTCTTCGTTCCCTTCGCGCCACAAGGCCTCGTACCGTGGGATGAATCTTGGGCAGAAACAGTGCGTCCAACATCACTCCTTAAATAAATATATTTACATGAGCATTCAGGGGAATGACGAAAAAAGAGAAAAGAAGTTGACAGCCACATTTCCATTTTCTCCATTTCTCCGTCCTGCCCAATCACCTGGCGTCATTACATCTAAAAATGGCAGCGTTCCACATGCCCGTCGCTCTCCACATTTATATTTTTTCCTCCCCCACTTTCTTCCTCTATAAATACGTCCCCACCTGAGTTTGGTTCTCCTCACTTCTCGGAATCTTCCCTTCTGCCCCAGTTTAGCGCCGTCGCTCCGCTTCTTCCTTCTCCTCCGGATCCACCGGCACCCCGTCCAACTTGGTGAGTTTGGGGAGACGCTGCAATATCATGTGCCGATACTCCTGCATTGACGGCGCGTTGTTACAGATAGGGTTGTTCAAAAAAAGAACATCCACCAGCTCCGGACACTGGTTGGCCAGGCGGTCAATCTCCGTCCAGCTACTGATAAGGTTATTGCTCATGTACAGGACCTTCAAATTCTTTAGCTTGTCGAGTCCCGTAAGCTTATCAATCTTGTTATAAGAAAGCCACAGCTGCTCCAGTTGTGGGATGTCAAGCTGCTCAATCTTACGAATCACGTTGCGCCCAAGTGAGAGTATCTTCAGCTTCTTCAGCTCCCTCAGACCGGGCCCGATCTTCTCAATGCCGTTGGTGGAAAGTCCAAGATGTTCGCAGTTAACAAGAGTGGCTATGTCCTTGTCCATCTTCACAATCGGAGGCAGCATCCCAATGAGCAAGACTCTAGGCTCCTCCGCGGCCACAACTCGCGGAGCATTCGCCTTCTCCTCCTCTGACATCTCACTGGTGCGGCGACGGTACTCCGCCTCCTCGAAGCGAGCGATTGCCTCCTTCACCGACGTTGCAGAAGCCATCGTGAGCTTCTCGCTGCTGTGATGGTACTGGTGCTGCTGCAGGCTCCTTTGGTCGCACAAATGCATGCAAAGGGGAAAAACGCACAAATCGCACAACAGGAGCGGCGCAGCAAAGGAAAGGGAGAAAAACGGCATGGGAAAAAAAGGGAAAGAAATTTGCTAGCCGGGATGCACACAGAGACACACGGGAGGCAAGCACCCCCTCCACCCCGTCTCACAGCCCCACGACTTCCTATATACGGCCTCAATCTGCTTACACTTCCCCACACACCCGCTCCCGCCTCCTCAGGTGGGCTGCAGGGCATACTCCTGCTTCGGCGAGCGAGGCGGTGGGGATAAGCCATCTAAAAAAAGTAAAATAAGTACGTTCACACAGTCCGTTTTCATTTTGTGCACCCACAGGCGCATACAAACAATAAAAGATGGAAATAATGGATGGAAAAAAATTGCTCAGTAATATATGGTAGTCATAAAAAAAAAGACAAAGTGGCATGTCCACAATCCTCCACTGACAGGGACACTCGCATTAAAAAAAGGTTTCCACTTAATTAGTAAAAAAATGTTCAACAATAAGAGAATCAACAACATGAAGAAAAAATTTCGACGCTGACAAAAAACATACCCTCCATGCAAACCACCCAGGCAAGAAGCAGCTTTCCATTGTTGGTAATCCACGTGAGATCTATCGCGGCAGTCCTTTCATCACCGCCATGGCCAGGGAGGAACCCAAAAACAGGCCCAGCAGGAGTGACAGGTTTGCCATGATGCCAGCAATGGAGCGCTGACCGGCCATCGTCAGCGACGGCGTGCGGGTGCAGTGGATCATCGCCATCCCACCAAAGTAGCCGTTGGTCAGACCCCACAACAGGCACATAATGTACGGGGGGACGTCACCAGGGATGATCCCGCGCACACACAGCACCAGAAACGGAACGATGAGCGTGCGCAAGAACGACCCAGCCAGCACAAATCGCGGTGAGGGCTGCAGACGTTTGAAAAACAACAGGAAACGCGACAAAAAGTCACCAAGATTGAACATGGCAACAATGATCGTCGGGTACCAATCTTTCGAAGTGCCTGCAGCAAAAAACACACCGGGAAAGATGAGGAGGGTCGCACTAAAAACTACAAGGCACGAGAGCAGCATCGGCCAGATACACTTGAAAACGGTTGCTATCTGCGCATTCAGCATTTGCTGTGTCGAGGTGATGTTTTCCACTTGGTC